TTAATGCAGAAACAGCACTTCCCTGGCTCAACAAGGCAAAGACTCACTTCCACAACAGAGAAGCATTTGTTCAAGGCAAAGTGATCAATAAATAGATGCAGAGGGTCACACTGTAAGCAATCAAGGCCTGATATCCCATCAGCATAAACTCACATATAGTGCCTCAGCAGCATTCTGCCTGTGCTGCCGACTCATCACTATCACACTGAGGCCTTCAGTCGCAGGGGTCTGGCAGGTGGGTGACATCTTGAGAGCATCACAGGGGGCTGATGGGAGTCATAATAAGGGTACAACCAAAGTCACCTCAATGGACCACGTCAACTACAGGTATGTTTGAGTTTACACAATAGTGCCTTGTACATCTCACACCTGCTACAGAGGCCTGGCCTGATGCTACAAATGCCTCTACTGTCTACTGATACTGAGACTATGTAACTATTTAATATGTAAAAGCAATCCCTACTCTCAGTAAACCAGGTGCTTAGTATCACTAATGGAAAAGAGTTTCATGGATGACAAAACTCACTAGATTTGTTACAAACTGTTCAAATGCTTAAGCATGAGTTACAGTTTTACTACTAACAGATGTACAATCCCTGAATAAAGACCTATTGAAAACAGACAAGCACAAGTGTTGTACGTTCAACACAACAGAAATGTTTCAAATATCTATGCGTCTCAATGTAACGCCATTGTGCTTTTCAATATAAAATACATGTTGTATTAGTAACACAGAATTATAGAAGAGACCATTAACTTTCAGGAAATTGTTTGTGTCAGAGTTCCTGTGTCCCTGTGGCCATTTGAGGACCTTGACATTGAGTAAAATGTATAAATACTCCATTGTTACAAACTGGTGCCACAGAAACACAGTGACTTCAGACAGACAGAGGAGCCACTATAGAAACAATGTTACATCAGTCTGGGTTACTCAGAGCCTCATGCGCTCTGAGCCAATCTGCCAACAATACAGCACACAACCACTCACACATAGACACAAGCATACACACAACTGAGCGGAACAGAAAGGCAACCGCTGCTTCGCAATCACTTGAAACAAAACTTCCTAAAAATGCTTTTTCAAGAAAAAAAGAACTAAATCTAATTAAAAACAACGAGTCAGATTTAGGATTAAAGCTTGATCAGATAAACATAATCACCAGGGTTACTCCAGTTCACATGTAAATGCTGTCAGCTGAGAATTGATATGCCACAACTGCCTATTCCTGCCTTCATGGCTGAACTTAGTCATGACAGAACAAAAACATTCCTTCCATGTACTCCCTGTCCCTTTATTGACCTTTATGTGAAGGCTTCATCAAGATCTTAACAAGACTTTGAGTGATCTTGTCTATAAACTAACTAATAAACCAAAACGGGCCTAACCAAAATATAGTACTCTCTAATAAAATAGTTTCATCCCTATTTAACTTTTGGCATTGAGAAAATACTACGGGAAACTGCCATCTATTCATTACTTTTAATAAAGTCCCCACTCAATGGCACAGTAACCATCTGTGATATAAAATGAACTGTTAACACCTTTGTCACTCTGAGCTTGTCCATCAAACTACTGTGCCAGGAATAGCCCGCACATACCACCAAGGCGAGGCATGAATGATGACTGTAGTCTGACTGCTGCTGAAACTTTTACAGAACATGTCCGTAACCTCCAAGTTCCTTTACAAGCTGTGGGCCTCTTTTTACATGCATGCCCCGTCTGGGTTCAATTTAACGCTTCCTCGCTGCTATAGTGGGTACCCAGCAGGCTGTGGAATTACGGGGAAAGCGCAGGCAGGAAATCCGAGCTGTGGAGCTGTTCATGTGACCGGAGCACCAGAGCCTCTGTTCATCTGCACAGGCCAAAGGGTAGGTCCTCCCCTGGACAGAGCTGGAGGTGAGGGGCTTACTGTGTGTAGCCATGATCATGTCTGGACTGACAAGAGTTACACTACGCAAAACATATCCTATACACTTTTTGATGTGTATGCGTTAGTCAACTGAGCTCACCAGAAGACAGTTGGCTAAATGTTAAATATGTTGATGTTGATATGTTAATTTCCAAAATGTGTCTTGGGGCTGATAGCAGTTCTTTGTCGATGCTAATATTACAACTTTTTTAATGATTTTGGAAAAATGTCTAATAGGATTCTGCTCAAAGTTCAATTCTAGAGCAGGGTGGGCAGTTTTTATGCAGAATAAGATGTTGTTTTATTGTTTCAAGAGGAATTATGGTACTTCAAAAACTGCAGACCTTGCGAATATGCTAACTGCATCTGTTCAAATTGCGATTTCAGCTCAATTGCGATTAGTCTTACAGCCCTAATCCAAAGCAAGGCCCACAAAATTGGTAAAAGTATAATGAATAAATCACTACTACAAAAGAGAATACTGATCCATGTGCTTTGCTATTTGAATTAAAAAACACCAAAGATTGTTTTAATATTCACTTTCCTGTTTATGGACAACATTTTGAGGACTTTTTAACATTCAAATATATAAAATTTAGTTTTGAACTGCTAAATCTCTATGGGGCTGGGGCAAAATGTTCATCAATCTGAAACTCGGTGATAGTTAAATCCTCCATGTGTGATCTTCTATTTTTGACACAATCACTTTTGAGCATGTAAGAAGATCTTTCCTGGAGAGTTGTGTTAAATCTTTCGCCTCTTGAGGTAAACCATGCATCACACAGTTAAAGATGTGTTGAGTGAAACTGCATTGAGGGCATCGAGATACAATACAGCTTTTAAAAGATGTCCCACTGGTAGCCTAATAGTTTCCTGGCAGTAAGTGGACACTCTTTGGAAGAACAAACCGGATAGTGTTTGAAGTGACCTGGGTGATTGGAGGAGGGTTGAGAACAACGTTAATGAAAAGCAGAGGTACGATAACTTTAGCCAGAGACTAAACTATAGATCCTTATGTCTCAAGTGCGTCTATGATCCCACAGAAGTCAGTCAGTTCCTGCCTGAGAGAGTGTATCTTACCAAGAGCTCATCCATACTTGTTTGGCACTTCTCCAAGTTAATACGTTTGATGGCCACTTTCTCTTTTCGGGGTATACAGTACGCTGCCTGAACCACTGCAGTGGCCCCACTACCTGAAAGAAATGGGAAGAAATAAACACAATGATTACACTGGAAATACACTGAAATCTCCAACGTAAACATCACAACATTAATTGGAAAAATATCAAATAGCAATTTTATAGCGAAAGTATAGCAATACTGATATGACTTTGCTTTTTATGTTTTCAAATAAGGATTAATTTCATAGTGGACATTTTAAATATAGCAGCATTTATTTGAGAAATGTCATGCACAGTTAGCAGGTTAAAACCCTAATGGAGATGGCTAATATTTTGGTTTATTACATAAATAGAATCCAGATGAGATTTTGAAATTTCAAGAAAAATATGAATAAAACAAAATAGTATTGTTTAATGTAACTCACTAGATCTTTGGCCATGTTAATCAGTGTCATTAAATGAATCAAGGATCATGCCCTGGACCTTATTTGACCTTTGGCATGAGCATGAGTAACATGGGAGATTACTGGAAATGTTGAGAGGTCCTCCAGTGTCCACTCTCTTAACCCTTTGGATAGACTTTCCAACGACACTATGAGCTGCACAAATCTCAATAAGTTTATTCTAGCCCAAACACACAAACCAAACATGGATTACAATCTGATTAAATCTTTAATACAGCAGTGGGCTAATCTTCATTTTCAATATTGTGCGACGTGCTGAGTGCAAGCTTGTAAAATTCGCCCCAGGAGAGGTCTGCCTGGTGTTTCTTTATTATGAAGTCATTTCACTACCCCCTCAATGCTCCTATACCACATACATGCACACACACGTGCACGTGCACGCGCATGCACACGCACACGCACACATATACTATAATGATGTTAGCTGCTCTTGTTTTTGGTGAACAGCAAAAAGATCCAATATGTTGCAAGCTTTTCCTAACCACTGGTACATTCATCTTGGCCAAAATATTTACAAAACTCTCATTGTTTTGAGTTTTTGTGATTTGGGAAAGTAGAGCTGGAAAGAGGTCATATATTAATACAACTGGGCTTCTGATTTTAATTAAGAAGCTAATCTTTCCCATAGGGCATGACCATGGCTTATTTAACTGTTTTAAGCAGGGTAATTATAACTCCAGGCTACGAAAGCAGCATAAAGTTATAAATACAAGTGACATATGGGGATTAGGTGTTCTTAGTTGTAATCATATAAAACTGCCATTTCCTTGTAATTTGACTGAGAGTTAAAGAATAATAATAACATAATATAACATAAAAAGTGGCCCCACAACCAGATATAGAAAGTTAATTAAGGATTATCGTATACATCAAGCCTGTCTCTACAGAACTGTATTGGTTCTTGTCACTGTGAATGGACTATGGATTTTGCACACCACTCTGAACAGCAGCACCCACTTTCTAAGAATACCACCCCCCCCAGCCCTCCCTTCTCTTGTAAATATATCCTTCAGCCACTGCCACCACCAATCCCAAACAAACCGGGCCGCACCTTTGGGAGCTGGTTGCCCTGTACACAGCCCAGTGTAAATTGTTCAGCACAAACAAACACAGTGAGGCTGCAGAGCATGAGTGCACAGAGAAAAAGGGGAAGACTGTTGGTTCTGCAGTTGCTGAGACCAAAGATCATGAACCTCAGTAGTTCACTTAAACCTGAAGCCCTGGCTGAGCTATTCACTAAAGCTTTATTTTCAGCACTGTGGTTTTGTAGTTTTCAGAGTGACTAAATCATGAGAAAATATGTAGATTTGGGTAGCAATTTGTCACAGGAAATTCTATACACAAATGCAGCATACTTAAGGGAGACATGTTATGTAAACTTTGACTTTTCTGGGTTTTAAATCATGTTATAGCAGTGTTCCCTCATGATTAACCCACACAATTGTATTTTGAGAAATTCATGCAATCTTGTACTGTCCTGCATTCAAGACTTGAGTGGTCAGAAAATGTCTATTTCACCTACACCATGTCTCAGCCCACAGCCAAGTGCTCAGTTGGATTTTTTTTTTTCTTTAAAAAAAATTACATAGCAATTTTTCAACAAAAAATCAAGATAATGGACCCATATAAGTTATAGTTTGAAGGAACTATGTAGCTTGCACTTGAAAACAAACAAACAAAAAAAAGGTACTACAATCACAGCCTGGGCTGCCATTGCCTAAACCTGCAGATAGAGAACACATACGAGTTTTTCTCAGTCTATAGAAAGGCCAGGCCGCACTGGCACCGATTTAGGATTGGCTGCAGATGCCAGGGTTTAGGTAGTGACCATTCAGATCAGAGAGAGCCATTTTACATTTAAACCAACTGGATTTCAGAAACTGGCAACTCAAATGAAAGACTCACATGAGGCTCAGTCTGCCTTCTGATTGGATAATCATCTAAAAATCATAAAATCATCATCATAAAATTATAATATAATCATCATGTCAAAATCTTACACACAGCTCCTTCAGTGCTAAAAAATATACAAACAAAAGCATGACATGTCTCCTTTAAAACAGTATGCTATTAGTGCTATAGGGTAATTAAACAACTTGTGCCATTTAAAAGTCACACACTGTGCTTGTGACACAGCTCACAAGTTCAACAGTGACCTTCCCGCCCTGTCTGTACATAGTTTTGGTTACATAGCGTTGGTTAGTTATTACATGGAAAAAGTATGGACTCATAGTGAAACTCTGATTTTCAGTATCTTTATCTTCTGATAAAGCAAAGTATTAGGCTATAAAATATTACTTTGATAACACTTTGCCATGGAGCACATTTTATTCAGCACTATGGAGTTTCCACAAGTGCATCCAAAGCTCTTTTGAGACCTGCTGATGCCATTACTGAATATTTTATAAAGTCTCATTATCAAAGCTGTATGTTATGTTGCTACAGAGAGTAATGCTAACTTTATGAGCCAATGATTAAAAACAATCACATGGCTTTTCATCTTCTTTAAAAAGTAAAACAGTTACATCATCTCAACATGTAACATTCTACTAATATGAGGAAGCACAGACTGTTTTACTATATTTAGTGTCACAAAACAAAATTGGGTTGTTTTGAGAGCACAGCAAAATTAAATCAATATATTGAGTTAGTGTAAATCAGATAGTGATGATCCAACTGTGAGCTAAAACATGGTAAAGGTTAGGTCATATCATTCTAATGGAGTCTATGTTCCTCTTTTTCATTTCAGCAACATTTTTTGTATAAAAGAGTTTGTTACATTGATATATTGATTGACAGGATGCACTTGGGATATTTTGCAGACAGCATGAAAGTTCTGGATCACTTGAGGAGAGGCAATTGCCAAAACAATTATGATCTTTGAAAAGACAGTCACTGTTGTCTGTAAGCATGTTTCCTCAAAACAGACCGGTGAGTGATTTTGATTTGCTCATCGGCTGTCAATGGCAGCAGAAACTGACTTTTGCTATAGGGTTGTGGAAAAAGACAACTATACACTAAGTAAGAATGGAAAGTTTAAAATTGAGATGAAGGGCATGTCACAATTCTGTATGGTGGGTTTTGCTGTTTAATTGTCATAATTCAGATGTTTTATACTGGGTTGTGGTTAAAGCCTCTGTAATTAGCATATCCACATAAAAGAAAAACTAGCTCAAAGTTCAGCTTTATTGTCTATCAGCATAAATAAACAAAAGAGAAAATATTTTTCACTGTAGATTCAAAAACTGTTGCCAATATTCAACCATAAAACATGATTGTTATCAGCTGAAAACATTACAAGCTGAATAGTGTTTAGCTACAAAAAATAATGAAGTTCAACATTTGCAGATTATAAGTTTGGATATTACTTTCAAACATTTGAGTCTATATAGGTCCCAGCCCGCTATTTGACATTATGACATAGTCAAATTGTTAGTCATGAATGTAGTAAAGTATTGAGCTAGACAGTCTGATCAGAATTCTATGGAGGATTTGCCTGTAACTGTCAGATTGCAGATCACCTGGTTTATGCTTAAATCTGTGTAATTCAACTTGCACAAAGTTCACATCGTGTCTATCAGCATTTAAAACAAAAATGAAATATTCAGAAAGTTCTTCAGAAAGCTTCAGAAAGTGATGCCATTTCTTAAAAGAAGTGATTACTGAAGGTTGAAAGAGCTTTAAGATGTAAGATTAATAATATGGCAAGTTGTGGTGCAAATCCTCAGCAAATAATGACAAGGTTCAATCTTTGTGGATCATATATTTGAAGATTTCATTCTTTAACAGTAAATATAGTCATATTGGTCCTTGCAATCCATCTGAAATTTGTGAATGTGAACACAACCTATATCAAAACTACTATACAATTTTGGATGAAGAAAATTGAACAGAGCAAAGTCACACAAAAAGTCTGTCCTTTGTAAGTTTACCCATAAAAAGTACATAGAGCTCACTCAATCATATCTTATCAGATTAGTTTGGCCTTGAATTAGCCTCTTAATGCAGGGGACCTTTGAGGGAAACTGTGAGAGCGTCCTTCATCATGAACTAGTGCCTGTGCTAAAGCAGAAGCTTTGAGATTGGCCTGATTGACCTGACACCTGTGGGTCAGTTCACCACCACGTCACTCCTCTTTTATTACCTTTGAGTGGCATTCCTCAATGACATTCCACACACTATTGAAATCCTAAATGAGAAATATCACACAAGAACAGTAACCACACCGAAGAACTCTCAAAAACTCACAGTGAAGACAAAAAGGCCATGACTCATTAGAGGAAACATTTTTTGAACCAAATATGTCAAAAATACCATTCTCCCATTAAGTTTGATGTTAAAATGGCTTTTCAAATGTTTATTGAGAACACATTCTTCTTCTATGCTTCGCACAAATAACTTCATAACAACTAATGTAGGCTAATCTTATTCTTACTGGAACAGTCTTGAAACAACTAGATCAGTTCAAAACTATGTTGAGAATTTGATTCACACTCATGAAAATGCCACTGAACCGGTTTCTGCACAAGAGGGGCTTTATCAGAGCATGCCAAATTACACGGTGCTATCTTGTGGGATACCCTCAGTTCATATTTCTAAGTAACTGCATGAGTGGAAAGGCAGAAATGCAGGGCTTTGGCAAATATACAAAAAGGTCAATTTAGGGCTTGCAGAATTGGCCCTTTGTAAACACAGATTCCCTGTAGAGGAAACACGTGCCAGAGCCATAAACTTAAACAGAACAATACTTTGCCTATGCATTTTACACACACCTTATCTTTTCAACAAAGTATGAGCCACAGGAGCAGCTAAGAGCTATGAGACGGGAGGGGCATTTAAATCTTTAGAAAGAGCTGTCAATGAACAGATCAGTCAACTCAGTCAGTCGTAAAGACTCACTGAGACTGCTCAGGAGCGGCTGGTAAGATGCATGACTCTTGAGTTACTAATAAAACAGTAGTTTAATTGATTTATTACTACAGCAATAGCCTGTTCACAAATACCAAGCAGACATAACACTGAGTTGATCTATGTTTTTCACACAACAATTTTCTCAAAGAGCTCTACTAACTATCGAGCTATAGAACTTGTGTGGTTGTAGTTTGTGGTAGAAATTAATCTTACAGTTGTGGACAATGCAGTACAGAAGGCATAGACAAATGCCATCTTGGCTTTATGTTCCAACTAAAGTGTGAAGTAGACCTCAGTAAACCTAGGCAGACTGGGGTGTGTCAACGGATTAATCTTTTCATAAAAACTTGCTTTTAATCCAAAAAAATAAACGCCCTGTTAATGAAATGCTGCGTCTTTCAGCAGATTGTCCAAACCAGACTGTAACTACATACGTGACGCTCGTTTCCCACTTCTATACATCCCCCGTGGACGGAGCAAATTGGTTTGAGGGCATTTCATGATTATTAGCTACAGCACCGCCCGAGCGGGCTGTCAGGCTTTTACACACCACAGGGATGAACTAGCTCTAACGGAAGAAGACGTGCAGTTATTCATCACCACAATCATATTACATCTTATAAAACACTGAATAAGATTATGCTGAAACATAACATAAGAGACTTATGCTGTCGACTAACAAGTAGATCTAGCTAACAACATGCTAAGGTTCACATACCAATCACCTCGTGTAGCTCATAATCATCTTTGTTGATGGACCAGGGTTGGGAGCTCAGGTCCTCCGACATGACTGGGAAATCCACTGACACCCGACTATCGGTGAAATCTTGGTGAATCCAAAGACGCTGTGCAGAAAGAGGTAAAAGTAATCCAAATAGTACCAACACGGGCGACTCTTCCCCTTCTTTGCGAATCCTGCAGCACTCCTGTCATTCCCAAAGTTTGACACTAGCCTAGCAGCCCCGCCTACCGCATTCCGCCTGAGCAAATGTGAACCTTCCCGACAGACACACGGGCTGTAGCCTACTATAAACTCTCTGCAGGGGCATCAGTGTGGGCATCCTGTCGCTGTCAGGGCAAGTATTGTATTGGTCGCTCTTAGATAGACCGCAGCATAGCTATTTCACATTAGGTAGGCTGCTCTGGCCAGAATTGCGTTTAAATTGGCTTTTTTAAATAAACCGTATATTGCATAAGTTTTATTTAAAATAATAGGAAAGTGTTTCATTTATTTGTGTTAATTGAAACGCATTTAATTCCGCCACACCTAATGGCAGCGGATGCTTCCTTGAGAGTGATATGCCCAGAGACTTCCCTTTCGGGCAATAAAATTCCTGTATCAAAAATTGAACAAGCCCTGATTTTAACATTTCCATATTATTATACCCATTACCAATATAAATAAAATGGATTCAACAATTATGTATGAACAATGAAAAGTATTTGACCCTGCAAATCCGAGTATAATGCCTGATAAGTCAAATTTAGGGAAACAGCTAATCAAAATCAATGTCTTTAAATAAGGGCGTTCCACAGAGGGGTTTGGTGCGTTCTGATTGGACACTTTCGCCTTTTCTACGTTTCGATTGGATAAAAACCCATTACATTGGGGACACGTGTAGCAAGCTTTTTAGGATAGCAACCACGACCCTTGCTGGACAAGTGAGGAAGACACAGGCCAAAACAATATTATCGTCACAAAATAGTATAAAAATGTAATTTATTCGTTTTACAAAACAGATACAAAAATCATAATGGAACACATGAGATCACAGTGTATGAAGCGTACATGAAAACCATGAAAATAATCTGGTAAAATCTTTTCCTTTGCGGTTTAGCTTCATCTAGAAGTTGTCTCAACAGAGGAAGTGGTTTCTGCAATAGAAGGAAAGTTGGCACTGCCCCATTACCTTCCTTGTATAAACCTATACATAAAATAAACTGGCTTGTAATATTACAACATGCACAAAACTGTTTGATAGAATTATTATTCCCAGTCTGTGTAAGTAGACCTATTTTCGAACCATGTATGGAACAAGATATATGTTGGCACTTTGTGTGCTTCAGTGGCACATGTCACAAGAAACCCTGTTCATCATGAATCCTCTTTATGGAAGAGAAAGAGCTTTAGCCAGTCGCACCCAAAACCAGGACTGTGTGCAAGGACGAGTGTAGTCACACACGGTCAAAAAACGCAAAATACTGGGGAATGGTTTTGACATTGGTCTGTATATCACTGGTATTAAACGTTTGCTTCGAGCACCTGTAATAAAAAAGCATTCAGCAAGACAGAAAAAGAAAACAATTATATATGTGATTGTAATTTAAACAGAAATGTTGACTTACCAGGACAAAGGCTAAGTGCAAATTTAGTCTGAAAGTCACAAGCATCACTCTCAAGGTATTCATCAGAAACCACCACTACCATTCTTTTACATCTGTATTGGTCAAATAAACAACAAAACTGCATTAGAACACTATGGATACACATTTTTAATTTCTGTTACTGAATAAGGACAAAAAAACACAAACCATGGTCCCCAGTTTTGAGTTCATTAAGTTAATTAGAGTAATTATACATTGTATTGGTGGCTTTCAGATTTTGGAGTGTGGCGGTGTTACGAGAGGAGGGGCAAAGGCCAGTTGTCTGTATCTAATTGCATTTCACCTTTCAATGTAGTACTCAAGGAGTAAATTCACAGATGCTTGATTTGATATCAGCTCACTAAGCTGCATTTAGGCTGCACTGTGTTCATTTTAGCTTGCTGCTTGTATTTAATGTTGCTGAACAGTAGATTTTTAGGCTGTGACCAAAAACTCAGCAAAACAATCAGATAGACACATCTTATTTTTCTTATTTGTACAGTGGGGTTTCTGGATGTTAATTCGGGAGACTAAGGTGGCTAACTATAATCTGGAGCATTACAGAATTAGACTTTGCTGCTCATTGTATTAACATAAACTTATATAAGAAATTATTCCAGTCAAAAATGACTGTTTGGAAATCAAATGCAGGCAGTAAGTGACGGTTATACTCCACAAATTGAAGGAGATTAAATTATTTAAATAAAAATTATTTCTGCCAGCATAGTCTTAAAGAATTTTTGGGGAAACACTGAGAAATACTGAGAAGAACCAGCTGCTCCTTGTATCTTAAACACATAGCTCAGGCATACATGTACAAATAATTATATTATTATTTTATAGACTATGTGCATGTATGTACACATGCATATGGTGTATACAAAAAAATATAAATAAATACATGCACTATTGTACAAATCAGTAAAACTATATTCTTGTATGTGTCTATCAATTATTACAAGTAGGCCTGCTATAGCTCAAGAGGTGTGTCAGAAGCTCACCTTTTTTCAATAAGTTCACTTGTGATGGTCCAGACACAGGAGCCTGGAAGAACATCTCTATCAAACACACATAGTTTGAGCTTGTATTCTGTCTGCTCCAATTCTCGAATCATGTCATGAACAAAGTTGAAGTCACTCTGGCAGTAGCAGATGAATGCATCAAACAATTCTGGGGCACCTGCATTTACACATTTAAGAATCAACACCAGTGCTTTAATGTGTTCAGGCCCACTGTCATGAGTTAAGACCATTTTACAAACCGTCAGGGTCATCTGCCAAAGTGATCCCAAATCTTTCAGGGGTACGGGGCACACAGCTGTCCACCTCAGGCACCTGCACAGGAGGGTCATCCTTCCTCTTTGCAGACTCTATATACTTCCTCACGTCTTCATCTATTGCAAAACAGCATTCACAGTAGACCAATTACACTGCTGTTACCTTGTAATAACACAAGACTACGTCAAATTATACGGTATGTTAATAGGGTTTAGGCTAATTCTATAAGTCAGGGTCAAACGAGAACCTAGACCATTATATTATAATGCATAGAACTCCTGCGTGATTCTCGTGGGCCTTACCTATCAAGGCACGAAGTTCCTCCACGACATCTGTTCTCTCTACTTCCGTGAGAATGAACAGCAACTTTCCGACCGATGTTTCTGTGTATTGAGCCTGCCAGTTCTTTAAGATCTCGTCTGTGGGGTTTTTAGAGTTCTCATAATTTGTTATCTCCAAGTATGAGAATCCCATTTCTTCTGCGACGGTTCTCCAATCAGCGGCCACTGTGTTTTTAGGATTCAAGAAAAGACCTAACTTTTTCCTAACCTTAACATTAAGCGCTATTAATGGAATCTTCCACAAATCAACTTTTGAATCTACCGACGCCATGTTAAAGTTACAATTTCCTTAAAAACGTTTTTGTTCTAGAAAACCAAAAGCGAAATCTTTCACAACCGTCTATGGGCAAGTAAAATGGGAAGTGACGCGCAGTTGTTTACAGTCAAGCTCTGCGTCAGGGGGGAGGAGATAATCGTGAATTGAGCAAAACTGGCAAAACTAGTGTTATTGGTGGATAATGTGATGCAACTGTGAAAAACTTAACATAATTTAAGTGAGCCCTGTGGCTTTTCTAAAACTATTCCTGGAACAGGTAAAAATATTTTTTTTTTAGCTTCGATGGAGAGGCCCTAAATGTTTCACCCAAGTCTAAAATAAACAATAAACATATTTGTAAGAAAGACACTTTTTTCACGGTATTATTTTGTAACCAATGGTCCATGAACATAACACTTAAAAAGTAAAGAAAAAACAACATTATAATTAAACTGCACAGAAGTTTCTGTTCAGTTACAATGAAGAACTAAAATAAGCTTCACCAATCTCACATCCTGTTTCATTTAACTGTGGTTTAAATTTAAAGTTGCAGTCCAGAAATGTAAACTGTAGTTCATGGAAACCCTTTGCCTTTAGAAAAATAAAAGTCAATGCCTCTGTCCTTGTGTTGTTTGGGAGTATGAGATGGGCCTTTCTTTCCTCTATGTGAAGACCCTGAAGCCCCCCCAGGCTGCAAAAGGAAATTTAAATATCATTACAGAATCTAGCATTGATTATGGAGATAGTATGATGCAGCTGCAAGCTTATCCTACTTGTTTTTTGTTAACATGTCTGCTCCATTCTGGTGCCATCACAATGGGCACAGGGTATGTCTCGCCGAGTGACACTTGAGCATTTGACAGAGCAGGGGAGCTGAGGGTCCACGGCATGTGCACATCGGACCCTCGCACTGCCTGCAACTCTGGGACCCACTGCCGGACAAAATCACCCTACAATGGACAGATGGGGCATGTCCATGTATCAACAAAAGCGATGTAAAGAGTTTGAAAGATGTTATTATAGACATGTGGTGATATATCTGAATCATGATAAACTTGTATTAAATAATCTTACATTATTGTCATAGTCCAGGCCTTGTTTGATCATATTGAACTTCCTGTTTTCCCTGGGGTCATTTCCTACTCCTGCACTGTACAACCAATTGCCGTAATTGCTGCAGACATCATAGTCAATCTTTTGAAAAATATAAAAGCATGATTAATTACACAAGCAATAACTATAAATGCCATGTAACTTTAAACAAGACTGTACTAGTGTTTTGTACCAGCAAATACTCAAACCACTCAGCGCCCATCCTCCAGTCCAGGCCCAGGTCTTTGGTGAGAAAACTTGCAACATTCTGCCGCCCTCTATTGGACATGAAGCCAGTCATAGCCAGTTCTCTCATGTTGGCATCTACGAAAGGCACCCCTGTACGTCCCTCTGTCAAAAGTATTATTACACCTACACAGTAGTTTTAATCACACACATACAAAATTTGTTTGATGCAACAAACCTTTCCATGTATTAAACAGCTTCATATCCTTTTTCCATGGTACGGATTTGTTTTGCAGTCCTGAAAAGAAATACTAGTTATTTTTTTAATCAATACTGATGTTAAAAATATCATAGGACATAATGATACCATTGATGTGGAACATTCTGTTTCCGTACTTAAGAGCCACAAACTTAAAGTAGTCTCTCCACAGAAGTTCAAATATAACCCTGCACACAAGTGATATATATTTCTAGAGTGTAACACATGTAAATATAATAATTCTAGTATATTAATATAAATAATCTTATATTTAGGTCAGTTCTTGCAGTGAGACTCACCAGTATGTGCTTTGATTGGCTGTCCGTTGTGCTTCATAAGTTTTGATCTGATGATAAATATATCGAGGGGAAATGCAACCCAATGCTAACCTGCAGAATTTCAGTAGGAATGATTTATTTAGCAATTTCATTGACACAATAATGTTATTCATAATATATTTACCATGGTGCTAATTTGGTAGAATAATCCACACCTATAAGACCATTACGGGTTTCTTTGTACGTTGCAACAGCATTCTATAAAAAAAATAAACAAATAAATAAAAATCTAAAATATAACCTGTAATCATAGTTTAATTTTGTGGGGCTAATTCAACTTACAGTATCCCAAAAATAGTGTTTAATTCTGGCCAAAGCTTCACTTTCTCCACCACGACAAGGAAAGGCTGAACGAAGATCATCAATTGGCTCTGTAAAAAAAAACAAAAAAACATTACACATAAAACACCCAAAACTCATAACATACTAGTACACCGACTGACATCTAAAGAGAAAAATATAAGCACACAAGCACAGCGGTTTGCTTATTGGGGTATAAAAATGCACACAGCAGAGAGATAGCTTTAATAGATGCATTTTCCCATGAGCCCAAAGCAATCTAGAAACAATTCCACATTATTATACATTTAATGAGGTCATGAAATAAATGTCCAAAAACATTTATAAAAAAAACATACAATTAAAGTTTAATTTCCTTACCTGTCTGTTTTAAGTCTTCCGCAGTGGGGATAGCTCCTTCTTCGAGCCCAGGGGGAATTGGCTTAAGTTTTTCAGGAGTTGGAAAGATGGGTCGCACACTACTTTGGCTCTCTACTGCTTTCCTGAACTGAGTATAAACATCTGGCAGCCTATAAGAACACAGAGTTAACTCAAAATTAATATATTCAATTTTGTCCCCCTATAAATGAATGTTTTAATACCTGGAAATGTGATTAAAAGGTAGATCATCTCTGTGATACAGAGTAGACCCCCAACAGCTTTGAACTTTGATCTTCATTTGAGCGCAAACCAACTTTACATTTTTCTCAACATTCAGTTCTTCTGATGTTATCTGAAACACACCAATAGTCATTCAAAAAATCCCCATTTTGAAAATCCTAGACTAACTTGGACAATAAAAATAAAAATTACCTCTTCATGAAATGCCACAGTACTAACAGTTCCCAGCTGCTTGATAAGATCTGCTACAACATCTTCTGGTTTTCCTTGTCTCACAATAAGGTTGCTGCCATAATAATAAATACAATTATTACAGATAATTTGACTTATAATGATATACAAGAGGCTGGTTTTGCCAATAATTTCACTGGGAAGCTTTTTTTTTTTTCAAATCAGATGATAATTTATAACTATAACTACTAACGACCTATAATGAAGACAAATAAACATGGAGAAGGGATCAATTATTATATGAATGTAACACAATGATTCACTTGCCTGCCCTTGGTAACTAATGTGTTTCTGAGGTCTTTGACGCTGTCCAGTAGAAATCGCAGTCGAAAAGGCCCAGTCTTTGGGAAGTTGTAGTAGTAAGTTCCTTCATAATGCCTGGGGTCAAAGCAATACAAAGGGACTATGTGTTCTGCATGTCTTTGGGCCCAATGGAGAAGCTGAAAGAACGATAATAATAACACGTCAATAATAATACATGAAGATATATATTTTACTACTAATAACTAGAGGAGATTGACTAGGTTAGAAACAGTACCCTCCATCATGTTAAACCTATATAGTTACACCTATAGGTGTAATACTAATATGAAGTAGTAAACAAATATATTATGTAAAGTTTATTTCTAATCTCAATTTTATTTTTTTAATGCTTGTTGTGTATAACCTTTGAGTGCTCCCTGCAACTCTTCTGAGTCCTCTCTTGTGTTATACAATTATTAGTTTTACACTCCGCCTCTTATTATGAAAGAGGAGCCCGGAAATGAAGTGGTGGAACAACTTTAGCTCAGCGTACAAACCACTTGCACAACACATACAGCCTGAAATAGCCTATTTTAAAAGACATTAACATTAATAACACAGAATAGTAGATGCATGACATAACATTGTACATTTATATATCACTAACGAAAATGTTATACGACAGGCTTGAGTCATGAAGAAAGTCCTTTTTTTTGTTGTTGTTTCTCTTACCTCGTTGTCATGAAGGCGCAAGTCGTTTCGTAATAAGCAGATTATTGTGCGGGCGGTAGACATGATCTTCTATGGTTAAATACAAAATATACACTCTTTATAATATAGTATAACCCGACGTGGACAAGCCTGGGAGCTCCTTCACCTCAGCTGCTCTGTAGGAATACAGTTCGCGTTACCAAACCAATCCTTCTCCACGTTACCAAACAGCAGCCTTTTTGTTAAGTTTGTTGTGGGGCGGTACTTCCGGTGACCTTTCTAAATAAAATGTTCCTCTGCATTTCTAAAACGGCTTGAGTGACTGGTATACATTACTATTTTATAATTATGTTATAGGGCCTAAATAACATTTGAAGTAAGTAACTAGACAAATCTATGAATTAACAAAAGTCACTGCAAGAAAACACCACAAAGTCAATGGCAGAGTATACTTTTCTTTATTAAGTTAAATGTACAAAAGATGCTTTTCATTTTCAAGACTTTATCATGAAGTCAGAAATAGCCAGACTGCCACAGAGCTCTAACACATGTTCCTGTAGGTATAATCCTACTACTACTATTACGTTCCATTCGACAGATTTTCATAATGCAAAGTTATTCATACAAAAGTGCTGACAAGTATTTACAGTATATTCTTCAAAGAATTTGAGCAAATTGTGCTCAAAACAGAAGAGCTGCTCACTTCTTGGAGACGCTTTGTGCTTTGGCAGTGAACAGAAATTTATCACTGGGTAAGGCACTGTAAAGTGTTACAAAAAGATTTGATCATTCCTTCCTTCAAGTGCCACTGTTATACAGCATCTATACCACCAGTCTTCCCATATAGATTGATCGTCAATCGTTAAAACAGCATTTTCATTTACCATTTTAACCTCACACCAGTCTTCTAATCACAGATACAGAGTGGTGGCCAAGAGACCAAGGTTCATGCAGTTTGGAAAAAAGGCATTTGAGTGATTACATTAACAATATGAAACAATGAAAGTAACATTGTAAAGATGCATTTGGTCCGTGCAAAGTGCACAAAGCTGCCATATAATAAACAAGGCATATGTGAAGTGACAAAAACCCAACAGAACAACTGTAATACTGTTACCTTGTCTGCATACCGTTGTGACTTCTTTATCTCTTTGGACATGTATGGCACAAGGCTCACTGCATGGGAAGCTGGAATGGATAGGTCCAACAGTAATGCTGGTATTGCTTAATAAACATTGCACACTAATGCATCGGTTTGGTTCTTATTTCTAGACATTGAGTAAAACAATTCATTATAAGAATATATAAAAACAACCAGGTATAAAAATATTCTATTGATTATCTTGCGTAAGTGTTCAAATGCCTGGAATCAAAAGTGCAGTGTTGAATTCAGATCGGCGTAATGTCAGGGCCCAGAAACCCTTTACCCTTTCTTACTTACAGAGTTGTAAGGCGTTAACAAAAATACTTGTTTTGACAGACAAGCAGCTAGGGTGACTTTGTATGTGGCTTTAATATAAAAAAATATTCTCTAGTCAGTGTAACTCACTACCGCCTCTTGTGAGTGAGTTACTTACAGTACTAGCAGGATCACCTGTCACTCTCGCTTACATGTGGTTTGGCCTGTACAAGACTCTATTCTTAGCACAAGGTGAGTGCAATAAGTGAGACCTCAACAGTTTGAGGCTTCACATCTCTAACCACTTTTCCTAGTCTTGGAATAAAAACTGTCTGGAGCTGGCCAGACTGCTAAGTGCTTTCTTGTCAGTCCCGTCTTTGGGGAATGCTCGCAATGTCTCGCAGGATTCAGGAGGTCTGACAGTAGCCGACCTGGCCCCTCTGCGAACCCTTCATTCTGAGAGAGGTGGTGATGGTACAGGGACGTCAGTCCTGACAAGGCAGACATTGGTGATAGATGACAGGGCGTGGAGGTGGAGTGGACCCTGGAGCCTGGGGACAGAAGGCCCTGAGGTGCGGAGCGGGCCACAGAGGAGGGGAGTGCCGGGGCCATGGGGGCCTCACAGGCAGGGGAAGGGATGCTGGAGCTTCAGAAACTGCCCTGAACAAACGGGTGACTGAGCAGGGCATCTGCAGTGGGCCTCCACTTTTCCTCTACAAACACCTGCCGCAGGAAGTCTCTGCAGTAGTCCGATACGCCCTCTGGAAGCAGAGGCTTTGTCGGCTGAGTGGCTATTTTAAAGATGGCAGCCATGGCCTCGTATTCAGCCCAAGGAGGTTTCTGGGTCAGCATTTCCACAACAGTACAGGCAACACTCCTGAAGAAAACCACATCAGAGAAACGGCATAACAAAAATTAAACAAAAATATATGAATATAATTTTAAACAAACAAATACAGATTAAATACTATAGGAGATCTGGAGATGGATATTTTTTAAATCTTATGTCTATAAAGATATATTCTGACTTACCATACATCAGCTTTGCGCCCATATCCCTCTCCATTTATGACCTCTGGGCTCATCCAGTAGGGGGTGCCGGTGACAGACTTGATTCCAGTACCAGACATGCAGATGGTCTGGATCCTTTTGCTGGCTCCAAAGTCTCCCAGCTTTACGTTTCCTGAAGAGTCCCCCAGGATGTTGGCACCTGGCACAAGGAGACTGAATTAAGCAAGAGTCTACCAAGTGTTCACTTGATGATATTTGATCAGTTTGAGTGCTCATTGTAAGCTGTCTCCCACAGGAGTGCAATGTCGTATTGCACCTAACAGAGAGTATCCCCACTGCTAACTCAAAAGCATACTGAATTACTGTACAGCAAAGCATAGAATACAATATACTCTATACCATATATATTCCATGATACAGTTTATTTAGCTGAATTCAGGAAATTCTAACCACGTCTTCAGTCTGTGTTTCGGACATGCCACTATTTGATCAATGAGTAATGTGCATAGCCACTCACGCTCCACACCCAGAGGCACCGGGATGACATTGACAAACCACATTTTTATTTATGCCTTTTTGTCGGCTGTTAAAAAGCTCTTAGTTGATCAACATTTCAGTGCCTGATTTCACACCAGACTTTGTAGAGGCTGCCCAAACCCTTCATGCTGCTGACACTGCTTTCAGTGGAGACAGTGGCTCTCTTGTACGCTGTGATGAGTGTGCAGCATGGAAGTGTCTAGATGGAAAATCCCTCCCATCTTTACCCTCAGAAGTTTGTGGACCCTACTATCTTTTTTTTCCCATTAAAATGGTTCAGTTCCCTTTTCTGGCGATGGTTAAATGGGGCAGAGACAGTGAGCAGCCAAACTGAAATCTTTCCATCCAGTGTTGAACATTTTTAGACTAGTAAATTTGGCCAAAAAGGAGCCAAAAATAGCTCAAGAGAGAGTTTGAAGTGGGAAATTTTTCCAGGATTATTCATCAGATGAATAACAAAATGAAAATTTTTTGACAAAATTGAATGATTGAATACCATTTTCAGCTTAAATTGTGACTCAGAAAGTACTGTCTGCACTGGTTAAAATTTAAATGGTGACCTTTTCTTGAATGCTGTTACCTTTGATGTCTCGGTGTACGATCATGTTGCTGTGCAGGTAGGAGACTCCTTGGAGGATCTGCCTGGTGTATCTCCGTGTTACCTTCTCTGTTAGAGCCCCGTAGGCTTTTAACTGGTCCTTCACAGAGCCCTAGTTACAAAACAAAAGAAAGAATTTATAAAAAACATACACCCACAAATATGTAAAGTTAAAATTGTATGCTAATTGATGGTATTTGTCCAACTAGCTCTCATACAATTTTATACCGTTACGTTGATATAAAAGGACTATTTTGTCTTCAACAATCTTAACAGTAAATCAGACATTTCTATAGAATTAATATGATCCATAGCCTGTCTTTAATAGCAACTTCATTCTTATTGGTTAACCACAAAGATTCAGACAGCCACAAACTTGGCTTTGTCATGTTTTTCTCTCGTCGTCAACATAGAGTTAAGATTAACAGCTGAACCTTCCAGGGAAAGAGTGAGCAGGCGAGAGCAGCTCATTAAATTGATTATTTAGGGAGAATATAGTCCCATGAAAAAAGCTTCACTGCTGACTTCAACAGCTAAGGATGTCTTTGCTGACAAGTGTTCACCTTTGAGAACTGTTTTGCAAATGGCTAGGAGATTTTATTTTTTGTCTTCACTACATTGCTCTTGTTTTGCCAAACAGATGCAAAAAAATCTTTTTTTAAAGACTTGACTTGTAAAAAGAAAGCTGAGGTGAATTATCTTGCAGAGTACTAACCCCAGGCATGTATTCAACAAAAATGGTGAGTTTCCTCTGCTCCAGGTCCCGCAGGCAGCCATAATACTGAACGATCCGATCATGGCGCAGGTTTTTCAGCAGCTGGATCTCACACTCCAGAGCATTCACCTCCTACAGAGGAACAACACTGCATATTAGAGAGGCACAATACACTAGATTGCACATTGTTGAAGTAATGATTCTTTCGCAATAATTTTACTAGTGAACATTTTAAATTAAACTGAATTAGTCTTGATTGGCTCTACAGTTAATGTATATAGTTGTGTACATTGGCCTGATTTTGTTCTACACAATGTCTCTTTACCTTGCTGGTTTCCTGACAGTCAGGGTCAAAGGGCACCTGCTTGGCAGCCAGCTCGCAGCCTGTGTCAGCGTCATAGCAAAGATAGACCTCCCCGAAGGCTCCACGTCCCAGGAGCTTGCCCTGTCTCCAGTTGACTGGCGCCCGAGGAGCTGCAAGAGACACAAGACCAGATGATGAACATCTAACAGTAAATCACCCTGTCTTTTACCCCCAAGACAGACAAATCTACCGAGATACTGATTTGAGCAAACACTAATTCTGAGCCATGCGTCAGAATTAACCACAAAAACAACTGTAAATATGGAGTAAGCCAGAAAAGACATTAAGCCCACCCCAGGGTCTTAAGTTATTCTGGCCACAGATCCTCTCAAATGGTACAGACAGGGGGAAACCCCCAAAGAACCAAGTCAAACTTTGTTCCATCAACAGAAAACAGAGAAATCAGCAAAGACATGGTTACAACCACGGCTCAGAGGCTGTGTTTAACAGTTTGCTTTTGCGGAGGAGGTGAGGATCAAGACTAGCATCTCAACCACAATGTGCTGAGTGCTATGTTTTTGTTGTCTCAAAGAGACAGACATAATGATCGTGGCACGATCGAACGAATGTGGACAAATGTGATTAGAGAATGATTCTAACAGCATCTGGCCCTTAGGCCCTGTCTTATACATATATATATATATATATATATATATATATATATATATATATATATATATATATATATATATATATATATATATATATATATATATATATGTATATATATATATATATATATATATATATATATATATATATATACATATATATATATACATATATATATATATACATACATACATACATACACACACATACACACACACACACACACACACACACACACACACACACATATATATATATATATATATATATATATATATATATATATATATATATATATATATATATATATATATATATATATATATATAAAATGTAGGCAATAATCATTGTCCACAGACTCACACTTGCTGGTTCCTCTCTGACAACTCTTGTCCGTGGTGCGGCCCAGTGTTCGCAGATCACTGTACTGGAGAGTACTGTCCCCGATGTAGCTCCGAGAGCGACTAGAGGGAACCAGTTGGAACAGGTTCTCCTGAGGCATGAAGCTTCGAGGAAGAGTGCGGCGACCTAAAGCACATTAACAAGACAATATGAACAACTGTGCAGAACTAAATCTTAGTTTTAATACAACTATTTTTAAGTGATTTTAAAAGTATTTCTAGAATAACACTGTGTTTTTACTAACCATAAGCCAACAAGCTTTATTACACTTCCTATCAGGCAGGAAGTACAGCACAGTGTTTTATACAATCCAAAATCACCAAAGGGAAACGTAAAATGTTGCTAGCCAAGGTTGACAATATAAGCCGTTATACACAGCTCTAACTCACAGTCTACATAAAATGTAGTTTGCTCCTAACAATGTATGCTATTATGTTATAGGAATAGTTGTCTACTTACGATCTCCATAATCCTTGCTGGGATTCGGCAGCTGGAATTGTCGAGGAAAAGTGCCTCCTTTCCGATGCCGTCCTGAATAAGAGGATAGTTTTATTAAAATACACTCAACAACCACTTACTTGACACATCTAAGTAGATTTTAATGGCTTATTCTGGTGCCAGGGTCCTGTAGTCATAAGTCTATGGGATTCATTAATTTCTTCCCTCCAGGACAGATACATGCAATTTTAACAAACTCTCCTTGAGATTTGTATGGGCTATTGTATTTGTACAAATAATTCAATACTTAAACCAAAGCAGCATCATTCAGGTATATTTTAGTGCCTCATATGTGCTAGTTGAGCTTTAGCTCTTAACCCAGTGGTCCAGTAACTAAAGGCAGGTGGGGAGCACTGCTGACGCATGCGAGAGTTGACACTCATTGACACACACACTAAATGTAGAGCAGTGAAGCCACATGAAATTGAAAGCAGCTGTTTTGTCAGATGACTGCCTCCCCCTGTGCTGTTTTTGTAGCCGTATCCCATGGAGACAGAGGTTATTTTTTTGTGTATGGCTGTGGAGCATTGAGAGGAAAAATCTAGTCATTGGGAATAGTAAACAAACAGTGTATCCCTCGGAGCAGAAAAGGCTTGTGCCTGTGTTCAAGTTGGAGATTATTTTAGTGATCTATAGGAAGGCTCTGCTGTACACTGTGTGCTGAGTATCTCTTTAATTTACAGCACAGGGAAGGGGCAGGAGAGCAAATTGAGCAGATTGGAGGGACTGCCACTGCGCCTGTTTGCAGGGATTAGTGTGGCGTTATCTGTGGTCCTGCTGTATTTGATCTGTGTTCAGAAGGAAAAGGAGCAGACACCCCAGGGAGACAGCAGACAGACACAGGGGCACGGAGAAGGGACAGAGGAGGAGGTCCGTATGAAGAGACAGGAAAAGACCCTTAAAGACTGAGAAAGCACACAGACAAAGAGTGTGGAGAAGACATACATGATGATGCTATCACACCTCCTGTATTGCCCACTTAGACACTCGGCTCCACATAGAATTTACAGTACTTATAAACAAATCTATTTCACCTAATGCTCAGTGTGCAAAATGCAATGTGTACAATGAAAAACATCAACAATAGCTCCTTTCTTTGCTTTTTTAATGGGGCTGTGATATTTATATGCTACAAGTATTTCAGCCAGAAGACATGTTTTCTTCTGTATAGTTACAGACAGTTCACTTTAATGTTATTTATGCTCATCTTTCCCCATTCTATGGTCTAGAATTAGCTTAACAGTCAGAAACTGTTTCACACTGGAGCTGTGATATATAAATTATGCATAGTTCTGTCTTACCTTTGTATTCATAATTGAGGTTCAGGTAATTATTGTCACGGTTGTTTTGTGAGAAAGGAGGGCTGGAATAAGAAAAGACAACACACACTGTCAACTCAATATTAAGAGAAATCTTGCAAGAAGTTGTTTCAAAAAATGAAACGCTCTTTATGACTGGACACAGTCAGTTCATTATTGGGCTCAGTTCTGTGTGGACCAGTCCAGCCCAGACAAGTGGACAGAGAGTGACGTCTCTGCTGACCGCAGGGCAGCATCGGGCCACGAGACCCTGGAAAAGGGGCATGAATGCCCGCTCACAGGGAAAAGTTCCATGCACTGGTTTCCTGCCATTGTTCTGCAGCCTGGAGCCCAGATAAGCCTCGTGCAGGTAGAGCCGTTTCCGTCCAGCTCACTCTCTCTCACTGTTCTTATCCTTTTAATTCATTCGGTTTCATTCTCCACTTGACGCTGTCTTTCACTATTGCACATTTTCCATAACCTCTGAATCAATCGTACAGCTCAGTCTTACAGGATTTTACCACTTCTGTCTTATATATGATAACTGAGCAATCCAGGCTCCAGATAAGAGCTCTATGGCAACAGTAGAATGACCTGGTTCCTTTTCCAGGGTCACACCAGAGCAATGGCCTTTAGCACTGTCTACAATTCTAACTCAATGCTTTTGTTTGGTAAAAACTCTCCCCATTCTAAAGACTACAGCCTTATAAAACTGCCTTCCACAACACAAGAGTGTCCATGGTAGATGTCATCTATAGGACTGGTCTGTAGATAAGGCCATAACTGGAGATAGAGGTTACTCACCTGTCCAATGCTTGGTCTATTGATTGACAGCTGCTTGACAGTGAGTTGTCTGCACTTCCAAATGGATCGAGCATCTGACAGAGCAACACACACATCAGGACTATCACCAGGGTGACCATAATATTTACAGTTAAAGCAACAATGGACTATTTTATCAA